AAATTTTTGTACCGTTCAGACACCAGTAAGTAAAAAAAAAAAAAAAAAAAAAAAAAAAAAAAAAAAAAAGATAAACTTGGGGATATCATCATCGACACTGTCGCTTTGGACACGCTGTAAGTCCGAGAGGAAAAGAGGTCGTCGTACGCCGCGCAGAAACGGAAGTCGCAGCTTTGCGCCTGAGAGTCCGTAAGAGATGATGACTCCCAAAGCCAAATCGCAAACGAACCACACTGTGACCGGACCGTATATACGCAATGAAAATCAAGAACATCGTTGCCACATCTAGCGGCGAACCCATAAAACCCAGCCTGAAGAACAGTTCGCCTTGACAAAAGAACGCCAGCCGTGGCCGCTAAAAATAGATGAACAGAATAAATATACCGACAGATTCAATGGCTACCACACCCTATACACACCCAGAACATATCGACGAACATCACGGGACAAAAGGAAGAGCACCCTCAATGGCCTTCATCAGTGTAAGGACCATGATCATGACGGTTGCCGACCGCAGCATCGTAGCTTGGTATCGGAGGCTGATCCTCGAAAGGAATATCATCGCTACCTCTTCGGCTGCCATCTGGGCTCGAGTACTCCGGAGGTGGGACCTGATCGAGATCGTCCGTGTCTAACAAGGGTGCTTGCTCAGTGTCTCCAGCATTGGTACGACTTGAGCCTTCTCCCACATCTTCGTGGGAGGGTATGTGAGCGAGTTGGGCGAGAGAAATATCGGTCGGAGAACGCACGGGACCCGGGCTGACGGATGGACCGAACCTGAGAGAAGAGCTTGTTCGTGCATTATTGGCATCTTGGTATACTCGCTGTGAGATCTGCGCAGCACTTTCTCGACCAGATTCGAGAAGGATACTGCCCTGTTCGCTCCCATAAGGAGGCGGCGGCGCCAGGCTGCCGGTCATCGGAGCTAGACCCCATTTCTTGACATTCGCTTCAATGAAAACGAAACCCATCTGGCCAAAATTCACATGCACGGTGCAGGGTCCGTTGGCCCCAACCGTCGGGAAGAAGTTTTGGGATTTTTGTCCGTGCGCCACATCTTCCAGCTTCTTGCCGTTGCGAGTGAAGAAGATCGTACCGGAGCGCGGCCGATACCCAACACCAATAACGTCGCCTTGGAGCAGCGGGGGACCATAAGGCGTTGATGCGAACGGTTGGTTGTATCTCCTGTGACCTGTTGACTGATATGCGACCGAGGATTTGTGATACCCTGTCAGGCAGATAGTGAATTAGCAGGGTGAATCACCCAGTTATGACCCTGGAGACGTACCTGGTAGTTTGAACAAAGGGTACGGTTTCGTGGTCATGCCAATGCTGATGAGGGTGTTCTCCGGCTTGTCATAGATCTTAGCCTCCCAGTAATATACGTCATTCTGTTTCGGAACCGGCAGGTTGGTCTGGACACTGCATTCTGAATCATAGAACTCAATCTCAGTCCTACCCTCGACGAAGCAGTTGGCGATCTCTAGTTCGGGTTGGAACTCCCAGGCCGATACTCCTTTTTCTTGGATCGCGAGGAACTGAGACAGCGAGATGTCGGTTTGCATAGACTCGGGTGGGTTGGCCTCGATAAACGCTACCAAGCAAATTAGCATGCCACGAACGCGCGCGAGACAGTCTACGGGTTTTGCGACTGGCGGCGACCGCATCGAGCGACGGAGAAGAGTAAACTCACCTTTTGCTCGCAAGTATTCCGACCGCGACAAATCGTCCATGGTTTCCAGAGCCTCCGCTTCCTCGCGCAAGAACGCCTGTTCATCGTCGAACTCACCGGGTCGGCCGATGCGATCGAGGATGATCCTACCGCGCTGAGTGTACTTGAAAAAAAAGAAGACCGCGAGAACAAGGACTGCAACGGCGGCTGAGCCAAAAGCGGACAGGACGCCAATCAGAATGCCCTTCCCGGTCGAACCGGAGGAGTTGCCACTGGTGCCGACCAGACCGCTATTGTCTTGGGGCATTGCCAACAGAACTCGATCATGATCCAAATTTGAGGCAGTTAGGTGAGGATCAGTCGGCGGATGGGCAATGGTGGCTGGAAAGTGGTTGACTAAAGTCGAAGGCATATTATAGCCAGCGGCAGCCGCTGCCTCATATGCCCGCATCGTTCATTGACTGGCTCGATGTCTCAGGCTGGCCGATTATACGATGGTGAGAAGGGACGGGTTGGACCAGGATTCAGCCAAACGAACGGTGACGTGGAAACGCTAAAAGATAAATAATATCACAATGAGGGACGAGGTGAGGTGAATGACGGAGGGGAAGGGATAGGAGATTAGATTATGAGATGATGAAGCCTGGATTTCAACGAGAAAGCAGGCAGAAGAGTAGGATTGAAGAGAGAGTGAAAGTTGAGTGAGAGCCAAAGTGAGAGCCCGAGAGGCGCATGTGGGGGGGCAAAAGGCAGCGACGCTTCCGGGCGATGCGTTCGGATGACGGCGTATCAAGCCACTGTTTTTATCAGCAACCATTCCAGGCCCTCGCTAAGGGTCTAAGAGAGAGAGAGAGAGAGAGGGAGTGCGGTGTTTGTTGGCTGACTGACAGGTTGGCTGGCTGGTTGGCTGAATGTTCCATTTAACCAAGATTTAAGACAATTTAACCCCTCGTTCCTGGAGCATTGTTTTGACTTGCACATTACGGAGCACTTGCCTGTTCTCTCTCTCTCCCTCCAATGCAAGGCCGCGACCACAAGGGGAGAAATGATGATGACATCCCCATCATGGATCGCTATCGCTGGTACGATACTGGTACGATACGGAACAGATACGGGACCGCCCGCAGTCACTCTACCCCATTGCGGGTAGAGATCGTGTATCGGCTCCGTCTGGCGCGTATGACTCCCTCCTTCACGGGACCCGCGTTCCAAAACACAGTCAAATGCCAGGCGCTTATCTCCACGCTTGTTCTTCTCACCTCCTTCGTCACCCTCTCCTCCTCCTCCTTCTTCCTCCTGCGTGGAATCCTCCTACCTCCGGACCATCCCCTCCGAATCTTGACACATTGATTTAGTCCTCACGTCTTACTTTAGCGTTTGAATTCTCCCAAGCAATGCGTGTCTCAGCTCATCCGGATCTTGTCTCCGATCTGAAGGTCTGCAATGTTCGCTGGTCCGTCAAGGGCAATGAATTCGATAAATATCCAGGTATGCTTGCATTTTAACTGCCGGTCTGCTCTGCCCCTCCCTTCCCTCAATAGAAACATTTGGTTGGATATTTGTTCAACGCTGACAGACAGTTTGCACAGCCAAGCAGCATGCGCGTAGGGTCGCGATGAAACTGGGGGTTTCGAGCGGCCTTATCTATCTTGCCGGCACACCAACAATCAATTGGGGCGATTCGGATCAACCGCAGACCTTCCGGCAAAGACGCTACTTCTACTATCTCAGTGGCGTGGATGAACCCGATTGCTTTCTGACCTACGATATCAAGAAAGACCTGTTGATTCTCTATGTTCCCGACTTCGATCTGCATCGGGCGATCTGGATGGGGCCCACGCTGACCGTTGACGAGGCTCAACGGCGGTTTGATGTAGACCGAGTTCGCTACCATACCTCTCTAGACAAAGATATCACGTACTGGGCCCAAGAGTACAACGACACCGCGCCAGTGTATGTTCTTCATACGTCTCAGCAACCCGAAACACCAGCCACCAAGCTTCGGATAGACGATGAGCGCCTGCTTCCTGCAATGGATGCGGCTCGAGTCATTAAAGACGGCCATGAGATCCAACTAATTCGCCAGGCAAACATCATTTCCGGCCTGGCTCACCGAAAGGTGCTGGAGAAGATCCACAAGATGACCAACGAAACACAGATCGAAGGACTATTTCTGGCCACATGTGTGTCGCACGGGGCGAAGAACCAAGCGTACGAGATCATTGCTGGCTCGGGTCCCAACGCCGCCACCCTTCACTACATCAAAAACAATGAGCCCCTGAAAGGTCGACAGCTGGTCTGTTTAGATGCGGGGGCGGAGTGGGAGTGCTATGCGAGCGATGTCACTCGGACGTTCCCCCTGGGCGCGGAGTGGCCCAGTGAGTATGCTCGCGACGTTTATCAAATTGTAGAGGAGATGCAAGAGGAATGTATCAGGCGCATCAAACAGGGGGTACGATTTCGAGACTTGCAGCTCCTGGCGCACAACATTGCCATCCAAGGGTTACAAGCACTGGGCGTACTCAAGCCTGGACCTGTAGAAGAGATCCGGGAGTCAGGGGCGTCGGCAATTTTCTTCCCTCACGGATTGGGACACCACGTAGGACTGGAAGTCCACGACGTCTCGGAGAGGCCAATCACGGCCCAGGGCCAGCGGGGAAGACGCGACCTGGTGCCGCCCACCAGCCTTTCGTTTCCAGTGTTAGAGGAAGGTATGGTGGTGACGGTCGAGCCCGGCATCTACTTCTCTCAATTGGCGCTGGCCAATGCTCAGAAGCAACCGCTCGCCCGACACATCAACTTCGTCGAAGCGGTGAAGTACATCCCCGTCGGTGGAGTGCGGATCGAGGACGACATCCTAGTGACGAGGACGGGATACGAGAATCTGACGACAGCGCCAAAGGGGAATGAAATGCTGGAGATCATCCGTCGCGGGATCGACAACAGCCGGGGGAGCCATCAGTCAGTTTTATCTTGACTGTTGACTGCTTTCTCCTCAGTAGACTACCGGTACATGAGTAGACAGCTTTTTATCCCGGGTTGCTTGGCGGACTCCAGCCGTGTTTCACAGTCCCTCCGACTGTCTAGACCTTCTAGCGTGTGTGGATCGTCATTGATTCGGCCAGAGATATTATCATGGATGGAGGCGGAATATGAGTAGTGCTGCACAGACTCGGTGGGCTTCTTTCTTCTGTGACTTTCATAACCTTACCTTTCAGGCTCTACAAATCTTGAAACCGACTCTGTAACCTTGACAACAGGCACCTCACCTAGCGTATCCCAGAGATCGAACCCCTCAAACTGTACTCCGCACAGTACTTATTATTGTACCTAGTATGACCGAAATCTCTTCAGCGACAGCGTTAGTACCAGTGACACAAAAGATCCCTCCACTGATGCGTGCCGGTAAGTTATCTCAGTCACTCTAGTCTATGGAGTCAATCAACAATGAATTGATTGATGATCCCACTGCTTGATCCCACAGCAAACCCACCCTGGCGGAGAACGACCCAGTCAGTCAGTCAGTCCATGGGCCCCCGGTCAAATGATTCCAATCTAGACCGAAACCTGCAACGCCGCGAATAACTATACCCCCCCTTCTTCTCTTTTCCGGGCCCCGGGCACCCAAAACCCGAGGACTCCAGACAGCACTAGAGCCTTCACGATCTTTCCGAGCCCGCTTTCCGTCTCCACTCCACAACAAGTCCAGTCCAGGCACAAACGCACACAATTTGAGTATGTGGTCTACCTTGCGAGACCGGACACACTGTACGGAGTACTACGACAACAGAAAATGAAAAAAAAAAAAAAAAAGAAAATCCCACTCCCCATGTCTCAACGGTGGGATTGCAGTTGCAGCTGGGCTAGCTAGCTAGCTAGCTAGTTCGAGTACGTAGCTGCCCTCAAGGTAAAATGGGGGGTTAGCATCTTAGCAGCCGTACTACGTACCTAATGGTATGATCCGATCTGGGCTACTTGCTTCATTGATTGCTGAAGGGTTGGACGAAATGACGGGTTACACCACCAGTAACTATCCAGACTATTGAGGAGGGTTTGGCGAGGTGGTACCGCATCCGTTGAGATATGTCATATATAACCTCCGTTTTCTTTCGAGGGAGATATTGTTTCAAGGTAATCTGTCAGGACAGGATGTAGGATTGGAAAAGCTATTAGCCCTCTGGGGCTTGATGCGATGGCCACAAAGCATGAGTCGTCACAACTCGAGAAGGAACAGGACGAGACGAAGCAAACTCCCGATCGTGTGCCTTGGGTATATAATTACAGCGTGGCAGCAAACTTGGGAGAATGCAATATACTTGAACCCATGCTCATACTATAAACAAGATTATAACCAGGATTTGCACGAACGCACGGTAAAGTTACCGGTAGCTTCAGGCATTGCATAAAGCAGAGTCGAACACGAACAACAAAACAAAATGGATAAAAAGTGGAAATCGGACAACTCACATGTCCCCCAACCATATACATACCGTACACTCCTTCCGTAGTCCATGTAGGAATTTCTGTAGGGCTATCTAAGATAGGGTCCTTCTCGGCTACGAACGGTTGAACATGTGTCATGGTGGCATTTGGCCACGACACAACAGATTTTTCTCTCTCCCCCCCCTTTTATGCTCGCTTTCTCGGAAAGGCACTCCGTAAGTAGTGTTTACGCTCCGTTCTACCTACGTGGTGTCGACTTCATGGGTCGAGTGGGGTTTCGAACTGAAAACATGTGGAACAGGCGAGGGGAGCAAGTTATGGAGTAGCAGACTACATCATCATGGTATATATGTTTTCTTTCGGGTGCCTGCACGTCGTGAGTCGCTGATTGAGACGAGCCAGGGAGGCGTCTGCGGTCTGCATGCTTGCTGCAGATGGAGTAAATTCGATTGCTTGACTGAATTATACCTCAGCCTGCTAGTTGAGAAGACCAGAAAGTTAAGTGGTTGTGTGCAGAGGTGAGTGGCATGAATGGTGGTGAGCTGGCCATGATGGCTTGCAGGGGTTGAGTTGCCAGAAGCATTTCCATAGTACTATGCGTAGGGAGGATCACTGATCTAGCACGTTTTGCACAATGGGAACATCAAGGTACTACTGGCGACTTGTATGTACAGTACAAGAGTCATACAATACTTGCTTGCGCCAAGGTAGCACGTTCAATAAGCACAGTACATACATATGAGTACAGTACGCCGTACATGCTGCATATCTAATTCTGCCTGCGCGAGCACATCAGACTAGCCGAGCAAAACTGCGTTCAGCACACTCCAAACCGACCATTTCAAACCAAGCACAGCGTAACCCCCACGGTTACTATAGAGTCTTACCCGCCCCCCAATCGCACAATACAGAGGCTACATTGGGCAATAATCACCTCAAAAACTATAGAGGATCGAGTCTTAACTCCGACAACGGTGATGAGATTCCAACTCACGGGTATCCACAAAGACAACCCAAGCGCTGTCGATCCCGAAACAACAAAGGATCTAAGGACCTTATGAGCTCTAAGGCTCTCGGCGGTCTGTTGGCAACCCACAAATCGACATCCTAGACAACCCCTCGTACTATGAAACGGGGAAAGTAGGGATGCCTAGTGCCTACAGTCCATACCAACAAAGGGCGCGGACGCGGACTCAGGACAGTAAGCCCCGGGCCCGATATCGCCCGTAGTCTCGATGCATGCCGAACCTGCCGTGGTTGGATGTTCTCACTCCTGGGCAGAGGGCCTGACAATTTGAGCAATTTTGCACCATGCGTCACACAAAATCTCATCACCCGCTCGGCCCGTTACGGCATCATTTCCACTCGATTGCCACCGGATTTAGTTGGGGGGCCCTGGGGGGTTAGGGCACCGGGGGCGTGTACGGTATTGTCAGAGCCTCAATAGAGAGGCAGACAGACTCCCAGACAAATTGAGCGAGAGAAAGCCTGGTTTCTTTTTCCCTGCCCTGGTCCGGATCCGAAATGCTTGAGGATCCCGCCTGCATGGCGTCAGACCACTCTTCCATTGGCCTACTTACGCTTTGTGTTTATTTTTGTTGCGTTTATTTCCTCTGCCTTTATACAGTAATTACTACAAACAGCCCAGGTTATCCTTTCATGGCCCGGGGAGTTATGGTTCTTCTTTGACATGGCTGGGGTGGCTCCCTTTCAATTGGGTAGTGGTATTCGAGTTTTTCAGGTCTGTCAGGCAGTAAAGTCAAGTCAGGCCGAGAATGAAGTGGGAAAAATTCAGTCTTTGTTGAAAACTCAAATAAGAAGATCAAAATCAATTCGTTTAGCACATCAAAATCACGAAAGAATAGTTGCCTTGGCCTAAGACCTCAGATGGGGACCTGGTGAGGTGACTCAGGAGTTCAAAGAGAGGAAAAATTGGTAACAATGAGCCCTAACTCTGCGGAGTCAACCCTTGGATCCTCCGCAAAAAGGGAGCCACCAGAACTACGCAATCCAGGGTGAACATTAGATCAAATTTCACCATTGCTAGCATTCTAGACTTTGGCAATCACGCCTGCATCAGTGTGGAGTTGTTTGACTAGGGGGCAGAAGGCATTGTGGGTCCCGAAGCCGGATGTGAAGATTTTCTTTGCCTGGTTAGGTATTTTTTTTCTTTTTTTACCTTTTTTTTTTGCTCATTAGCTGTACCTCTGTAACCTTAAGTGTTTAGTGAGTCACACCACCGCCCAACACTCCTTCGGCAAAGCCAGCCGGAGTCATACTACCACGAGAAGTATATATACAGTAGCTCCGCAACCCTCGATCTCCTGATCCCCCCCTCTCTTCCTTCTTCACCTCATCTCATCCTTCTCAGGGATGATGGTCACTCCTTTCCTTACCGTTTGATAAATCAAAAACTATTCCGGAAACAGTTCTCTACTGTTTTGTGGTGGGTGGTTGTTTGTCTATTTAAACCTCCCCGGCTTGATCTTCGCGAACCGCAAAACGATAGAAAACCTTCAACACAATCAACCTCCTCCAACTGCAAAAACGCAAATAGGCGAACTGTTAGAGAATGGGCCAGAGGCACAACCGGCGTCGTACCCGTCCGCGCTCTCGAAACCGCAGCAGCAGCATCACCAACAACAACAATAATCACCTCAACCTTATCGAAGCTTTCTCCCGACCTCTCAATCCAGTCCTACCTTCGGCGGCCTTCGACTACCATGAAATCCCCGCCCCAACCTGGCACTATGGGGATCTCACATGGCAAACTCGACATCGCACGATGAGGCTGGAAACTCCCGACATAGAGGCGGAGCAGTGTCGACTATTTGGTGGTGAACCCGGTGACGATGTGGGCCTTTGCTATCGGATGCTGGAGTATTTCGGTGGACTTGATTACATCGATTGGTGAGTTGTCTTTCTTCTTGGTTCTTTTTTACAATAGAACATCGAAGCTGACTCGTTCCTCCTTAGTCCCCAGTCTCTGAACGCACTACCTGGATGACGCGCATAAACATCCGGAAATCGTCGGCTCTTTGGCAGATTCAACAATTAAAAAGTGTCAATCAGACGGTGGAAAAAGCAAAAAGAAAAGAATGAAGAAAGAATTTCCCAACGGGCATTTCCAACATGGCAAGGATCTTGAAAACAAATTCAAATTGTTTCCATCCTCTGCAGCCACCACAACTCGACGACATCAGCAGGACGGAAGCCAAATGGCAATCCTACCAGCCTCCCGAGAGGACCCGAGAAGCCAGATTTCACTGGGTACTATCCAGGCCAATGACTTGCAGCAATGAAGGATCAGACTCCCCGAAGAGGGGGGTTTCTATCTGGATTGGTCTTCTGAACGGCCTGGCCATCTGAAATCTGGTCTGGAGATATTTCCTCGCAAGACTTGGTGACGTCGAGAGCAGCGGTGTCTTCTAGCGACCGGGCCTTGCCGGGTTTGTGGGTGGGTCGAGTTCGTGTCTCGGTTCAGTTACTCTGGATTGTGATGCTTGAGTTCCCTACTTCGCAAGCATGGCTTGGTGCTGGCGTGGAAGGTCTTTCCTGCACCTCCGTCTACACAGTCTCTGCGAGGGTATCTCCCATTCTCACGCGTTTTCTCCTCAGTGCTGCGGCCCCTGATGCTCGATATACAAATGAGGACATGACAGCTGGACAAAAGTGTTTTGAGCTGGCGTTTAAAAACAGATGTTTCATCTTAAAATTGGGGTCAAAAAGGGTTGTCAGTTTTTTTATGATGAAATGAAGCTCAGACATGAATGCTTGTTGTATGTATGGCCTGTTTATCTCAGGCCCGGAGATCTGAGATTATCGACTCCGTGGTAGATAGAATTACTTGTTAGATGTACAGGATGAGCCTCCCGAGGTGCTGTACAGTACAATATAAATTAAAATTGTTGTGATCAACGCTTTTCCATCAGCTACTCCGTAAATGGCTTGAATTGACTGAAAAGTAGGAAGAAATAACCTAAAATGAGGCTTGACCCTGAATGCCGAAAGTGGTAGGCGGTGGGCTCCGCCGCCGCCCTGGAAAGGACACGGTCGATCACAAGGCACGACCGACGCCGATACGATAATTAATCATTCGGGACATGCTCCGTCGTGATCTTCTTCTTCCTCTTCCTCTTCCACCACACGACACTCCTTTACCGTTGACTGGTAGGGAGATCATGATCCCCAGCTCAACGACTTAATCTGTGCTACTTTCCGCTCACCTCTTCCCCCCTTATCGGACATAATCCAACTCCCTGTCACTTATTTTGAGCCCAGGAGCAGCTGCACTCTTTGTCCATCGTCCTGCCCGCTGCGGGCGACCGTGTTCATTGTAAATTTACTGCACCATGTCGACAGACTACAACTATGACGACAAGGTAGGACCCCCACGGGCTCGTGGGCTGGAAGCGACGCTGACAGGTATCGCCAGGGACAATTCTTCCCCTTCTTCGTCCTCACCCTGACGAGTCTCGTCACTCTTCCTCTGACGTACAATCTGCTCCGGCCGAGCAAGGGTGAGTGCTGGACCATAACATAGCTTCTATGGTGCGCCTTGGGATTACCCGGAACTGACGATTGATTATCTGGTGTAGGACTGGAGAACACCGCACCGCGGATAAAATCAGACTTCAAGCCCGAACATGGCGACCTCATTGATGCGCAGAAGCGCAAGCGCCTGCGCAAGGAACGTCGGATCAAGCGCATTGTCACCGTCGTGGTGGGCTACGCTGTCATGGCTTGGATGGCATATTTGATCGTCGTCACAGCACGGACAGTACCCAAGATCTGGGATCCGTATGATATTCTTGGTATCTCACGGGTGAGTCACTCGCGAACGAAGTATCCCTACGAATGACGCTAACCGGCGTGATTTGTTTCTTACCAGAGCGCCGACGAGAAAGCGATCTCCAGGCACTACAAGCGCCTGTCACTCGTCTACCACCCCGACAAGATCCGCCCCGATCCCGCCAAGAATGAGACCATCGAGATGCTCAACGAGCGCTTCGTCGAGCTCACCAAGGCCTACAAGGCATTGACCGACGAGGAGGTTCGCAACAACTACATTCAGTACGGCCACCCAGACGGCAAGCAGAGCATGAGCATCGGTATTGCTCTCCCCACGTTCATTGTCTCGGAAGGCTACTCCAAGTACACCCTGCTGGTCTACGGTGCTCTGCTTGGCGTTCTTCTCCCATACATTGTCGGCCGCTGGTGGTACGGCTCTCAGCGTTACACCAAGGAGCGCGTTCTCGTCGCAAGTGCTGGCAACATCTTCCGGGAATACAGAGACGACATTACTGATGGCGGAATCATTAGCGCGCTGTCCTCGGGCGATGAGTTTAAGGAAATGTTGCAAGGACCCCGGTCCGATGCTGGATTGGCGAAGCTTGAGAAGAAGGTCTTGGCGGAAGATTCCTCGTATCTGACTCCCGAGGACCGCGCGGTCATCAAGGGACTCGATGATTCGAGCAGACGGAAGGCACTGGCGTTACTCTGGGCCTATCTCGGTCGCGTTGATCTGGAAGACGCCACGCTCAACGGAGGTAAGTCGGAACTTTTCTTTACCGTGCTACATGCGATTTACAACCTACTGACCCCAACTCAGAAAAGTACGAAGCCGCCCCCATCGCCCTTTCATTGAACGAAGCTTTCACGGCCATCGCCCTCGCCTTTGGTAATCTCCGACCAATTCTCGGATCCTTCCGCACCGCACAGCACCTCATCCAAGCCGTCGCACCTGGCTCCTCTCCGCTTCTCCAATTGCCACACTTCACGCCGGAACTCGTGCAGACCATTGAAGGCGCCGACAGCAAGGAACACTTCACTGTGCAAAAGTTCATGTCCATCCCCGAAGCCGAGCGCTACAGCCTCACCGTGGGCGCCGGCCTCCTCAATGAGAAGCAATACACGACCGCCATCAACGTTGCCAAGCAGCTCCCCGTTCTCGATGTGTCCCGGGCCTTCTTCAAGGTGATGGGCGAGAAGGTCATCACGCCGAGCAGTCTGGTGCAACTCGTCGTCAAAGCGCGCTTCATCCCCCCCGGTTCCGCCAACGTCCCCGCCCCTGCCCCCGCCGACCTCGAGGACATCGATCCGGACGAGGACGACCTCGACGCCATCATGGGCCGTAACGGCAAGAAGACCAAGGTCGTCAACGGCCAGAGGGTCGAAGAAGCTAAGTCCGAACCCGTGCAACCTCCGCTCGCGCACGCCCCCTACCTCGCCCGCGACCACTCCCCGCGCTGGCACATCTTCCTGGCCGACGCCAAACAGGGCAAGATGGCCGTGCCCCCCTTCACCTTCACCACCTTCGACAAGCCACTCTTCGACCCCGTCACCGGCCAGCCCACGTTCAACGTGCAGACCCTCAAGATGCAGTTCCAGGCCCCACCCCAGGTGGGTGACTTCACGTTTGTGATGCACATGCTCTGCGACAGTTATTTGGGCCTCGACACCAAGCTGGAAATCACCCTGCACATCGACGATCCCGCCAAGGCCGCCGCGTTGGACGAGGAGGATGATATCAGTGAGCCTGATGAGGGTGAGTTCCCATCCACACATCCGCCCCCCCCTTACACACATTCCACAAGACCATGAGAATCTAACAAGTCCTATAACCATAGACTCGATAGCCGGCCAAATGCAAGCGCTAAAGACCGGCCAAGCCCCCAAGAAGAAGGCCAAGAAGCCCTCGGCGGAGTCCAGCGAGGACGAGGAGAGTGATACCGACGGTGATGCAGGCGATACCAGTGACACGAACACGGAGACGGATATCGATGATGATGATTGAAGGGAAACTTTTTTTTTTCTGCATTAAAGGGAACATTACCGGAAAGAGGGCGGGGCAGGGGGTTATGTTTTCCCACTCCTCCCGTCTCAGGGAAACTAGAGTTAAGCATATAAACCTAACCTATACGTGGACAGGAAGAAAAGAGAAAAAGAAAGTTCCCTATGATACCTTTAGCTTTTCTTTTCTTTTCATTTCCTTTCTTTTTTTTTTTTTTTTTCTTGGCTTGGTTTGATCTTGCTTCGGGAACGGATTTTCTTATCTCTTTTCCTTTTCTCTTCTTAACCATTTTCAACTCGCGAGTAAAGAATATACCTAAGTTTTCGTTCATTATTGTTGAGGTCGTACTTTATGGGAATCCTTGGGGGCACAGGTAAATATTCTTTGCTACATGCGTGGGTAGAGTCTGTGCCTGTTTCGGCCTTCCAGGCTGACCTGACTACTGACCGACTAGTTGTAGTCCACTCAACGAGTCCTTGGAGATAGCTGATACGGAGTCGATGGTCTTGCACACATAGTTGTTTTTCTTCTTGCTTTTGCTTTCTTTGTCTTTTTATTCTCAGGGCGTCCTTCATTGCTGCCATTGCCCATCAACCCCCGCCCGTACAGCCCCTGCTTGTTTCTGTTCTTTCGTACGTGGCTTATCGCTACAACTAGCAAAGCTCGCAGTCTCAGGTTCCGCGCTAAGGGTAGATTTTTTCAATCCAGAGAAGCAATGTTTGATCGACATATCAAGGGAGTCTGCGCACTGTTTATAGCCCTTGTAAGCCAGGTTCATCCTGGCAATGACATTTTGTGTTGGATCCTTAGTCCTTGATCAGGCACATCAGGTGTGCGGTGCGGGAAGTAAAAGGCCTTGGGTAGTGTAGGCGAGGAGTAAAACTCCTCCAGAGATTCTGCTCTACGGCCGAGACGTAGAGTGTAGTATAGTAAAATGACCCCGTGAAGCTTGGTTGTTAGTCTCTGAAATGAAAAGAAGGGTTCCTGTTGTAGTCAGAGTATGTAGCCATCACATGTTGTAGAAATAACAGTTGCCTTTGGGTATGTGAACGTGATCATGAACACCGTGCTAAAGACAGATTCTCCATGATAGGCAAAGCGACACAGTTGACGAGGAATAAATGATGGGCAGAGTGGCTGTCACCCCGTCTCTGCGTATTTACATCACGAGATGAAAGGTGTACACTAGTACGAGGGACAGGGATCTGACAGAGTGCCCGGGCTCTATGATTATCCGCTATGCTAACCACAATGATATGACCAGCTGGTCGCAGGAGGTGGATAGATAGCGTGCTGTTCAGGGATGTGCAAGGCATAATCACTCATCAGGCTCACGGGCAACCCGGATCCAATTACAGGCTGTTGCTGCATCAAGCCGACCGGCAGCCCGGAGCTCTTGCTGGGATCTGCGCCAGATGCGGTATCCAAATAGTAGTAACATGGTTGCTCATGAGCAGCCATTGATGGCCCAGTATCCGTGCACTTCAGTTCGCATGCAAGGGTCATAGGTTCTAATTGTGGGCGAGGGAATGTCATAGTCTGATATCCTGTGTGTTGTTGGTAGCTCTGATACGGCCCTGGGTGAATGTTCTGAACTGGCTGCATGTCCCATCTCCAAGGTTCGCTGCGTTTGGGCGAAGAAAGCATGGGACTACATTCACTTGGTGAAGGCTCAGGAGGGGTGGCAGGCTCGGGTGATGGATCTGTTGTGGCGCTACTATCAGTTGAGGTTGAAAGAAATCGTAAGTACTGAAGGTCTTCGGATTCTTCCTCGGGCTCGTCTGCATTCTCCTCGGCTTGCTTGATCAGACCTAAGCGGTCCAGGATAGCGTGCGTCAGAGGGTAACCGTCGGGCGCGTCCTGCAGTGGCTCCCCAGGGAAGTCCTCCTTGTTGACGCAAAGCATATAAAGCCGCTGAAGTGCTTTCACTACCAGAGAGTGGTGCGACTCGAGCATTTCAACGAATCTAGAAATGTGCCAATCCACTAGTTAGTCCTGGGAGCCTTGGTAGACATCATATCAGTGCGTAAAAGAATCGAAACTGACCCTCGTGAGTATACTTTGGTTTGCGTAGCCTTCCTCTCCCGGAAGAGGCAGGGATGGTTATACGCAGAACAACGGTTGCATGGCTGTTTCCCATCACACTAGTATCCCATGAGTATCACCGCAGACCGTAAGCTTGTGCTATGGTTGAGAAAGATGCACACAGAATCCTAGAAACAACCAATGCTTCACAAACCTTGGTCTTCTTGACTCTGCAACGATCGCATGCCTTCAAGACATGCTTGCGCTTGACTCGAAAAACGCGCTGGTCATGCTTCTCGTCTGCCAACCCCGCGCGGGACTCAAGCTGTGTTAAGGTGGTCACCGCAGCAAGATTATACATGGCATCTGGATAACCAGGAATGTAAGACTTGGGTCGCAAGCTAGGTTGACGAGACATCTTTGCAACGGACAAGCCAAAAAAAGTTGAACCATGTACATGGGAGTGAAATGCAATTGAACGCCCACCAAGGATCAAGGTGGCAGGAAGGGTCTGATATGATAACTTCGATCTGAGGTCTGACTAATCGAGAGCACGGTGTTCTCAGTCGGAGAAGGAAGGAGAAGGAGGAGGGGTAGTGGATGTCAGACTGCCGCTCGAGAGGAACAAGCAGGTGGGGGGTGCGAGGACCTGACAAGGGACAAAGAGGCTGAGAGACATATCTATCAAATATTATTGATATCATGTCTTACCCCAGCGCAGCCAAGCGCACGCATGTCGACATGACGACCCCGCCCGAATAGGACGTATATCGCTAGGCTAGGACACTGAGGATGGTGACGTGGTGAAGCAGCTCGTCACGACATCAACCGGACCGGTCGCTCGACGTCCTTCAGGCCGTTGTGGCTGTGGTAGCCTAGCAGGTACACCAGGGAGTCCCCCGCAACCATGGGGGGGATTTGGAGGGGGTTTCTGCCCGTTTGGCTAGTTGATACAGGTGACCAGATAAAAAATTCGCTGGCGCGAGACACGCCAGTAGTCAGTAGTCAGTAGTCAAGTCAGTATCCACGCCTGGCGACGGTCCGAGCCGTCAGAGCTACCACGGGATGGATACGCATCGCTGCCACCGCACCGCTTGTCGGCACTAACCGGGTAAGACCCTGGTCATTTGGGCAGCGAAAGCCAGAGAGTAAGGTAAGTGCTCTCAGTCTCAACCTGAATCTCTCTCTTTCTCTCTCCCGTAATTCTCGTGGGAGCCTTGAAGAACTTCTGGTGCCGGAGGAAACTCGTCCGTCCGTCCGCTGGCTTGAAGCCGCAAACGTGCAGCTTGCTCCGGTTTCCGTGGCTGTAATACATCATCTCCCTATTCTCCAAAATTTCTTTTTCTCCCGATCGTAAAACAGGCTCTAACTCTAAAACCGGTTATCGGTGAGTCGGCTCACGGCCAGACAATGCCGCTGTAGGATAGATGGTTTCAATCTGGCTAGGAGCCTTCAGCATCATCAGCTTATGCCTCATGAGCGACTATCAAATGCTCCCATAGTTGCCATTGGTACACGGATGACCAGCGCCATCGCACACTCTGACTACTCGCGAGTCGTCGATGAGCGCGTGCCTCACACTGGGCTCAGCGTTACGCCAAGGTGACAAGCAGCTATCGACCCAATAGTATGGGCTGAGAATTGCTTTTTCGAGTTTCCGTAATTTTCGGCTGGAATTATTCTCTTTCCCGCGCCTGTCAGAACTACCAGTCTTCGTAAAATGCTCAGCTTGACGAGACATGGTGGTGATGATACGCAGAGGGCACCTCACTAGACCCCTTCGGATTCAGTCGCGGGAAAGTCGGTACCGTCGCACGCTCCCGGCATATGCTGCAAGCTGCTCATGTGTTCTAAGAGAGCTAACCGTCTTGAGCTTAAAGTGCAGTGGTGCAGTTTGTCTAAACAAAAGCAGGGGTACCACTTCTAAAACCAACTTCTTCGGTATCTATGGGTAATGGGTATCTCAATGCTGAGACCGGGTAGGGCCACTGCTGTTGTGTAAGAGCCAGAGAGTAGCAATCACAGACAAGCATAGAGCTCGCAGCGCATGTTTTCAAATGATCACCTGATGTAATGTTGTGATGCTGACCAACAGCACTTGCGTGGGCCAACCGCAGCAATAGCATTGTTCGTCATCGAGGTTGCAAAGATTGATCGAGGGAGCATCGGCCAAGTAGGCCTGCATCATCATCGTTTTGGGGAGCACGGCTCGCTGGTCTTACGGGAAATACCGCATAACTCGAGTTTCGCAGAAGGTATTAACCGCGCTTAGTGTTGTGCGTAGGATTCCGTGCACCTCCTCCGGTGGACGCCAAAACCAAAAAAAGAAAAAGACAGAAAAAAAGGGAATGGAAAACAATAGGCAAGATGACGCGAAGAGAAAGAGGAAAGGGGGGGGGGGGGGGGGGGGAGGGAAGTGAACTAGACAACAGAGAAATACGATAGAATGTCTGTTCCATTCTCGCTTCTGCCTTGCCGATCCTTCAACCTGTATCTTGCATTGCCGTCTGTGATGGTCAGCAAGGTTGATTGATTAGACAGGAGCATCACATTGGGCTTCCTCGAACCTGGGATTCAGTCATGGCCGCCCCCCGCCACCAACCACAATCCAATATAGGACCTTTTGAAAGGTGAATCTGTGATATAGGGCAAGGAGACCTGCGCCGCGGGCTCCTGATTAATTTTCCCCTCTCTTTGCCACACCTGGTGAGAGGGGGGAAGGGAGGGGCTCGAGGATCTGGCGTAGGTGCGAGCGAACCGCATGAGTTGGGTGCAGCAAAGGCCCGTCCACCCTGCAGACACTCCGTCGCTCACTTGCAAGAAAGCGGTGATTTTGTCCGTCTGAGGAAGTCTGTCACTATACTTTGTCTCTGCCCCGCTTCCTATGGTCGCTGAACAATGCTGAGCTGCAACTGAGATAATCTTCTGTCACAATTTTTGTGGCGCAGTCAAGCGGCGGGGATGCACTGAGCTACCTCGGCTTTCCATCGTGGTAATTGCCATTTTCATATATGTCTGGCTTTCCTTGAATCCTGACCAGGCAGATGGTTTCGGGCGGGGGTAGAGCCAAGATTAGACGAACCATTAATGGGGGGAAGGAGAAAAGAAGAGCATCAGGCAAATGAGAGCATGAGAAAAGATGCGAAGGAAGAAGAACAAGAAGAGGAGATGCGATTGAGAAGAATGGATCCATTCCAGTTCGGAAGAGAAAACGCCCAATTAGGAAGGAACGTGACTACAGGGCCGGGCTCCACTGCCTGCCAACAACTGAGTAGTAGAGCTGATACTGAGCTCGGAGAGTCCGAACATCACGGTCCTCAATTCTCTTTTCAGCTCCCTAGAGGAAAGCGAACGGCCACAATACCCACCAGGTCTCATGATGATCTTCAGGACAATGAAGACCGCGGCCTGTACTATACATCTCGCTCCATTCCGGACTCTACATACCCTCACCAGTCACCAGTCACCAGTCACTAGTCACTAGTCACTAGTCACTAGTTGCCAGAAGCCCTATCCTGGTATCACCTGCATTGCATGGCATAGACTAGCATGATCTCAGTTCTTTGCTCTCTGGGAGAAGACGGGCCAAGCCTTCTGCGCAGAAAATGACAGAGCAGGAATTGAATATCTTGCGCCTCTCCAGATCGAGTAAGATTCCCAGCAGAAGCAAGCAAATACCCATCAGCGGTTGGCGGGGAGGAGTAGTGCTGACGTCTTGGATGCCGACAACCATTCCCAGAGGTAGAGGAGGCCCCCGCCTTGAAAGCAGCCTTATACGCGCAGAGCTTAACACCTATTGTTTAGGCGTATACACAGTCTAAAAACCGCATCCGCCCTCAAAGAGTCATTGCCGGATGACCCTCGCGCACCGAGCGATGACTATGTTGACTCGAAAACCCCTACGGGATCCGGCGATATACCACACAAGTAGGAAAGCTGATGGCCTTTCAAGTACTCCAGGGCCATTTTACCAGGAAGTTAAGACTGCCGATGGTCGACGAGGAGGAGGAGGAGGAGGAGGAGGATCAGCCGCTCCGATGAGGCCCGGATACTCGCGACGGAGTCCCATTACTCCAAAAATCCCTTCAGTTGAGCCCAATGATCTGGTGAACGAGAGTTGGAATGCATCCTCAAAGTCCATTGTCATTCGCCGCATGCCAGCTCATACTCGGGATGTAGCAAACAAGGAGTAGCTAATCAGAGGAAGAGTCGATGAGGTGAAGGTGCATGGCATTGTACTTGGTCAGTCAAAACCAGGCCTGAACAGTGACCATGCGTTCTCTGTAAGACATCGAATATCAGGGAAGTGGGAAGTGGAAGAAATCAATGGAAAAGAATATACATTGAAAAGTACATGGATTGTCAAAGGTGATCACTGGCCAACAAGATCCATTGGCTTACTCAAATTGTCCCACCACCCATGACTACTACTTAGCATACTACCGCGCTCAGGTGTTTGCTCCTCACCATCTAATTATCTTTGCTTTGGTGATGATCACAAATGGCGATCAGGAAGAACAATGCTAGCCTCACCGGTTGCAAGAAGATCGAAGCTCTCATCACTGGCTGCGGTTGTGGGAGGACTCAGACCCGTGCTTTCGACCGAAGCAAAGGGCTTTTCCTTTCCGAGCAGGGACAAGGATACACCGGCGTGCTTCGTTTGCCAACGCTTGTCACCAATCCACTCCAAGCCGTCACCCGCCCCGCGGACGCCCGCCTTCCGACGAGCCTTCTCCCGTTCGAGAAGAGGAAGGCTTTCTTCCGTAACAGTTGACTCACCAACGCGCAAGTCCAGATTGCGATGGTGCCACTCGCCCAGAAACATTCCATCCGGGTCAACATCTTGGCGCACCTTCATCCATTCGTCCATGCCGCCACCGTACAGCTGTCTTAATTCATCACGCGTTGCGACAAAGTTCTTGGCCCAGTGCGGTCTGGCTCCCATCTCACGCATGAGCCATTCAAAAGCCTCGTAGTAGCGAGCCGTGCAGGGGGGATCCCGATGGTAAGGACGATAGAGAGTCGCATTTAGATACAAGGTCGGACCGTCAGAGCAACTAGGATCAAGGAATGGGCGGGGGTTTTTATTGAGTGTAGAGTCGGCAACTCTGACTTCGATCGGACAATGCACCCAGAGTCCGTCAACAGAGAATGGAATACGTGCCGTTTCAGCATCGCCGTTCAACCAGGCAGAAAGCCGGGTAATAGCTTCCGGTCCCTTCTCCAAGGGGAGCGCCCATTCGTTGACGAACTGCGAGTAGAGACAATTCATGAGCAGACCGTCGCGGGCCGGCTCCACGGCTTCCGTGACCTTGGTCTCTTCCTTGAAGCCATACTGCAGGCCGAAGACAAACCACTCAACCCATGGCAGGATGCGAGGAAAGTAATTGGCCAGGGCCAGCAGGTTGTGATAGATGTGGTAACCGACGGTTTCCCCATAAAAGGTCTTCGGCGGAGGGCGCACCGGAAGGTCGGTCTTGTCTGCATGCCAAACGACCGCGCTCTTCTCATACGGCATCCACCAGACCCGTACGAACTCATGCGTGGTCCACAATCCAGTCGACCATTCATCCAGAACGCTCGAGAGCTTCCGGCGGGTCTGCCGCCATGCGACCTTGAAGGTGGGCTCAGCTTGTAACGTGACTTCGACAATGATGCCCAGGGCACCGAGGGAGATAAGGGCGGCGCGGAAGAGGTCAGGGTTACTCGTTGGACTGCATCGCACCACTTGCCCATTGGCCAGCATTAGTGTCAGGGACACAATACATTCGGAGATCAGACCATGCTGCAAGGAGCTCCCATGTGTGCCCGTTGAAATGACTCCCGCGATCGACTGACTGTCGATGCTACCCAGATTCGACAAGGTGAGGCCATGCTTCTCCAACTGCTTTCCTAGGTCCCTCAAGCGTATTCCAGCCTGCACGGTGACCACGCCGGTCTCAGGCGACACCTCTAACACGCGACTGAAATCATCGAGGTTGACCAGCCAGGAGGAGGTGCAAGTCAGATCCGAGGGGGAGTGGCCACTCCCAACGGTGACAAGACGACGGCGACAGTGACGGGCGAGGGTGACAAGTTTCTGGATCTCAGCCAGAGACTGCGGACGGACGTAGAGCTCCGGTCGGGAATAGAATGTCCTGGCCCAGGTGTGATGCAAATGATCGGTGGTGGCGCGAAAGGGCACGGCGGGATCGAGCTGCGAAAGTTTGTGAAGGATCGCGGGGTCCATGGTGGTGGTGATGATAGTATTGACGGTGGTTATTCTCTCCGACTGAGGCTCAATCAAGGCATACTGACCTATACAGAGAGACGTTCAAGTCTCTCACAACAATGAGGAGAGTGAAGAAGGAGAGTGAGTGAGTGAGTGAGTGAGCGGAGAAAAATGGAGGTGAAATCAGCGCGCAACACTGAGGGGCGAAAATTAGAAAGAGCGCGCGGGGTGGAAATTAACGGCCGATGACGAGCCGCGGTGGGTCGATTGCCCATCACAACTTTCTTATCTTCATCTTAAAGGTCAGTTTACTTCCTGTACTGTAATCATCTTCTGACAGAGCTTGCCATGGTTCCACTGATGGGCCACCAACCCAAACAAAAGTGGACATGCTCTACACCTTCTGCAAAATCCAAGGGTGAACAAAAATTAGATTTATTTGATTACCACCCCTCTCTTAGTTGAGCAGGATTATCATAGATGCATCCAAGCAAGCCTCATGACTCTCTCAACAATCAAGAAGCACGCAGTCCTCTGGAAATGTCAAGCTGGTATGAAAAACTTGAACCGAACAATGTACACTGACCCATACACATATGCTGTAAAAACAGGTCGCCTTTTCACCCCGCTTTACAGGCTTTCTATATTCACACTTCCTCCTCAAACCTGTAGCCAGGAACTATTCCTATGCGAACCAATATATGCACGATCTAAATGCAAAGACGCTATAACCAACGACAGGAAAGCGAAAAAGAAAAAGAGAATAAAAAGGGAAAACCAAAGACAAATCAGGGTATGATGCTCTGAAGAATATCGGAAGAACGAAAGGTGGTCAAGATTTAGGGGTCGCGAATCACCTCGATTGCCGCGTTCAAAGGGAGCACTTGCGGAATACTTTGCCACGAGCTCGTGTTCCACTTGCGGAATACACTGCTACAGCTCTCAGGAACTCCGCTGAGGGAGACGAAGGTCTTCGGGATGAATGGCCGATCTTGAAAAGAGGCCGCTAGGATGCTGTATTCATGCGCAAAATAGACCGCTGAAGCGAATTCGGCAGCGCGGGCGGAGGCTTGTTCACCCACAATCCTGTCAACATTATGTTTAGCGCGCGACTTCGAGTCGTTCGGGTCCTCGAGGCAACTTACACATAGATCTCAAAGTAGGTATCAAGGACGTAGATTCCTTTGGCATCAATGTCCTTCTGACAAAAGGGATCCACCTCTTGCACGGTATCGTTGGGACGAATGATTGGGGAGGGTGAACCGGCTCGACGCATCCAGAATCCAGCCCGCTGCTGACCAAGCTCATGGTCCACACGAAGTAGTCGCGTGCGATACCGGTCAAGCTTGGGCTTCAGTTGCCAGTCATTGGCGCCCTTCTCATCTGCTGTCCTTTCGTACTGCGGGAAGACTTCAAAAAAGCTCTCGGGCTCTTCTCCTTCACCTACTTCCTCGAATTCACCCGTAAGGCCAAGATCCATCCCAATCAAGCGAGCCGCACCAATTTCTTCTGCCGAGCTGCCGAGTCCTTTCCACAGGAACAACTTGCCGAACATAGCGGAGATCACGAAAGGATAGCCGGAGCAAAGGCTGCTAGGCGAGAAGTTCACTTCGTCGAAAACCATCTGTCCTAGGTGCTTCCGTCCGCAGAGCATGAAAATAGCGGAGGAACTGGATCGTGAGCTAGAACCACGACGCGTGATGAGAATGCCACCTAGAGCCTGAATGAACCGCGCTGGCTCCTTGCCTTGCTTGATAATCTCGAGCTTGCATCCGTTTTCTTTCGCCATTCTTCGAGAGAAGGGCTGGGCATCGTCGACAGCCGCATCGGGAACGTCGTCACCACACCAGAGGTGGATCTCAGAACGCACATTGCCGTCCGCCTCAAACATATGCACACACAAGTACATGCTTCCCTCGTACAGAATATACTCTTGATTGACGGGAAGATCTTGCTTCTTTCCATCACCTGTGATCTCCCATATTTGGCGTTTGAGGGTTCTGATTTTCGTTTCGTCGCCGCCTTTCCCCAACAGCACCTGAGCATCGACATTCACGCGATCGCTTGATTTAGGCAACGGCCTGAAGAAACTGGAAATCGCTTCCCATGATTCGTTAGCCAGAGGGACAAGCGAAGCTGATGATCGTGGCGAGGAGAATCGATCGACGGAGGCTCGAGAACCCTTGGGAGGAACCGGGGGTGAAGGCAAAGCTTTGTCTCTAGAAGATGCGCCTTTGATCCCTACAGCCGCAAAGTAGGATGCCGGCTTTTGGTACGGTGCGGGTGGTGCTGAGCCCAGGTTCTCCTTGAAGCTGGTTCTCAAAGGCGAAGGGGAAGGTGACGAAAAGTGAGTCGGGGCGTTCCTCGTAGGGGTGGATGGCAACGGTGCGGTTTTCGGAGGCAAGGGGGGCTTTCCGAGGAGAGAGCTTCGCAAGCTGGCGACAAGACCGGTACTCTTGCTATCTTCGGAGCGAGGAGAATCCTGGATTGGTGGTGTTGGAGGCTCGACGCTCCGATCATTGGGCGTCGGCAGAGATTGTCGATCGACCAATGGCGGCGTAACTCTTTTGATTCTTATAGATAATGGCGAAACAGGCTGGGTTGCGCCTGCGTGGGACTCGGACACAGAGGCATTATGGGAATCGGCCTCGGTGTCAGGAAGTGGCCAACCACTACTAGTACTAGCAGTAGCGACATGCGAAGCGCCTAGTATGGGACTCTCCAGATCGGAAAACGGCGACCGACGTTCCTTTCTGTCAAATGCATCATCTGCCACCGGAGTGCTCTCCACAACTTTTTCCTCCACAATCCTCTCTTCTGCAAGCTTCTCTGCTGCGAGCTTCTCGTCGGCGAGTCTTGCCTCTTCCTCGGCAAGTCTCTGCTCCTCAGCGATTCTTGCCTCCTCTGCGAGTCTCTGCTCCTCCGCCAGTCTCTGCTCCTCAGC